CCTCTTGACGGCGGCAAGGAATTCCACGTGCCAGATTGGGATGCCTCATTGCTGGAGGGATCGTGCAATCGTGGCTTCTTTGTCAGCGGCCTTATTGCGTGGGATACCGCAGTGTGATGGGGAAACGGTATAAATTCTGCAGGGTGAACTCGCTTCACCAAGGAGAGCAGCATAACCCAAATCCCTTCAGCAACGCATTCTCGCATGGCCAGTGGGGCAACGCGGAGCGCCTCAATTGCCGACAGGGAGTCCGTTGCCACCGGGGTTTGTGTGGACGATTGGGATGTTTCCGAACGGGGAATTATGAGATGTCTAAAGCCATTTTCAGTGGCAAGTCACTCTGCTCTCTATGAGCATGCGAGCCTGCCAGCTGCTGCACGATGGACCTCCACAGGGAGATCATTTGTCTTTGTGGAGCCGTATAATGGTGCAGCGGATCCAGATGCGAGTTCGGCGAGGGATGAAGAAATGTCTGTCCATAATTCAAAATCATAATGTCCTAGAGAGGAGTAAAGGGAATCAAAAGCCGTGCGCTTGACATCTTCAGAGGCGTCGTTGGCAAAGCGTGGCTGATTAAATTCCACTTTATTGCAACTCACAGTGTCCCAGGGAATAATTCGATGTTGGGTAATAGGAGGAGCGTGATTGTGGTTGTGTGGTATCCCAATAGTACCACATACGCGTTCTAATCCATTAATAACGAAATCTCTCGGAAGCGGGATTGATTTCGCCGCTTTCCTATGCATGGACAACGGCATAGGTTCCGAGTAGATAAGGGAACGCAAATCCTCGTGATTATGGAAACGTGCATGGCGTTCGTGTTGTGTGAGTGCACGACGCCAAATTATCTTCCGGAGCGGGAGAAGATCGGCTTCCAAGTAGACAGATGTATCTTCCGTTGGTGCACTAATGCCAAGGGATGCTGTACAACTGTTGCTGTACAGTGCTTCCGTATTATGGAAGTAGGTGTAGACGAAGAATGGGAGAATTGCCTCGCCATAATATATTGACACACCATGGACGTATCCAATCGAAAAGGATTGCATGGTGTGATGGGACGCACCAGTCTGTGCGACCGGCCGTAATTGGTAACGGCGTGGCATGGTCTGCTTTGCAGCGGTTGAAGCGTGCGTACGAAAATTAAGAAGTTGTTCAACCGTGGTGTCCAGTAAGCGCACTGGGCGGGACTGAATACGTAGGTTGCCATTGCCAGGAAGGAGATCGACCATTTCCTCTTCAGACCGTGTGTGTGAAGAGATGTAGAATAAAGTAGCTTCGCTCTTATCAACGTTGATTTTGAGGCTGTGCTCGGCAGCCCATGTCGTTATAGGTGACAGGGCGGGTTGCATTGCCGCAGCACATGCATGGATGCCCGCACCTGAGGCAGCAAGTGTGAGGGCGTCAGCGTACATGAGAGCGGAGGCGGAATAGATGTTCTCCAGGCGGCGCAGCAGATCATCCACACAGTGGAGGAAGAGTTGGGGTCCCGGGACGCCGCCTTGTGGTGCTCCGGCTGAGGTGAGTTGTTTCCGGGAGTGCTGTTCGCGAGTGCATACCCTAACATAGCGGCCCTGCAGGTAATTATGCAGCCAGCGTTTGGTTCGGGGGCCAAGGCGCGGGAGTCTGTCAAGCATGCCGAATAATTTCCCATGGTCAACGGTGTCGACCGCAGTTGAAAAATCAATCAAGACTACGAGCGAGCGATGGCGACGAGGGTGGCATGTGGGAGCGCCGCCTCCAGGGCGCTCATACTCCACAGTGCTGAACTCACTCAATCCACAGGTAATTTTACCAATAACAATTGTCACCACGTCCGATTTAGAACGCGAAGGTGTAAATCCGAATTCACGTTGGTGTTGCGGCAATAACGCTGACAGACGACGATGAATCATTCTTTCGGTTAATTTTAGTAAAACAGAGAGTAGCGTGATAGGTCTGTAACTCTCTGGGCGACATGAATCTTTCCCAGGTTTGGAATGGGAATAGTGTCCACCGTATTCAAGGAGCTAGGCAGGCTGCCATTTGCGAAGGGGTTGTGGATCATCGTTCTGAGTGTGCTGCGCGCGACGGGCACGAGATGGTGCAGAAACTCATTCAACATGTTCTCGTGGCCAGGGGCTGAGCCGAGCGAAGAGTCACGAATGGCCACGCCAAGCTCATACGGCGTGAGAGGTCGATCCATTTCCCAGTCACCAGGAACCAAAGGAGTGCGGCAAGCAGCAGGAGCAGCATAAGACGGTATGGCACGTGAAACTCGCACAAAATGATGGACGAGCAGATTTGCCTGTTGCCGAGGTAGAGCACAGACGCGGTCCGAAGATCAGTGCGGAGCACAACCGATTCCAGAGGATGAGGGTGCGGCGCCGCCACGCCGCGGAGATATCGCCAGCTTGGGCTGGATGAGGCCTCAAGTTTTTCGCACGGGCGTCCAGAAGCATAGTGAAGCCACGGCGTAAGGCTTGATTTTGGTTCTCCACATTTTGGATTAATTCGTCTCGAAGCAGGCTGTCTCCTGGTGAGGCGATGTGTGTGCTTTGTGTGCTGCTTCCGCGGCGGACTCGGCTTGTTCCATTTTGTTTGTCCAGATTGTTTTGGGCTTTCACGGCTGCCGCGCGGGATATGGCGCTCAGCTGCTCGCAAGATACCTCCGCGAGGATCCAACCATGCGGACGCGGTGGCAAGGAGTGTTTCACACAACGAAATGAAAGCAGGCCAATCCGCTTTGCGCAGGGCAGAGGTGGCTTTCTCCCGCCGAGGCAGCGTGTTGGCTATTCGCGGAATGCCATTATCCATCCCCACCGAGTAAGATAGTAAGCAGTGGTCGGAATCCATGTAGAGAGTGGACTGCCAGTGGGTGACACGCAGTACGCGATACGCAGTCGCTTCAGGGGACGAGACATTACGATTTGTGCTCCGTGTTGCCTGCGCCGGGTCATTTGCCAGCCCGAAATCCATGTCAATTAGAGTAGAGGACAAATCCTCTCCTCCAGTCGTTGAAGGTAGGTGTCTGTCCCAGAGTTCACGATGTAAATTCAGGTCACCCGCGATAATCGCTGCGGGGCCTAAGCGAAGAATGGCACTAATAAACGAAGAGCTCTGAACGGTTGCTGTGGGAGGGTTGTAGAGATTCACCACGCAGATGCTGGGACAGCCCTGTGGAGTTGCACTGGCAGCAATGGTCTCCAGGAGGTCTGTGCCAGGGAGCGTCAGGCACTCGCACGGCAGAGAGTGGCGCACCAGAGTGGCAACGCCACCAGCGCGCCCAGTGCGGGCCTGAAGAACGCCATTATAGCCATATAGTTTTGCCGCTGTGGCACTTCGAGTATTTGTTTCCTGGGGAAGAACGATGACAGGTGGATGCTGCTCCAGTCGCACAGCAGATGCAATCTTTTTTACGGACGAGAGGCCTGCAATGTTGAGCTGCCAAATAGTGATGAAGCCATCCTCCTCGGCTTCAGGGTTCTTTTGTAATTCACCGCAACGGGTGATATCAACGGAATGACCGCAGCGAAACGGTCGTGCAGTTTTGTCCGACAGTCTGCAGGCAGACCGCCTCACCTCCCCACACCGGGCATGGCGTGGAACCTTCTCGAGGGGTGGAGTCGTCTTGTTCTCCGTCGTGCTAGCAGCAATGCACCGCAGCGGAGTTCCTATATGCAACCAGAGCCCCAGCACCGCGACAAGGTGCGACCTCATCGCTGGGGAACTTGGATAGTCGCAACGGATGGCGGTGTAGACGTTCCCAAGTCAGCCGGGGTTGGAATCCTGCTTTCATCCCTCAATTCATCGGAGATAATAGAAAAGGCCAGTATAAACTGCGGTGCACGCCCATGCAGCTACAGGACGGAATCCCGCGCACTGCTTCTAGCCCTAGAAAAGCTGATTATCCCTCGTATCCGACACAGGCATAAAACCCTGCTTGTGGTTACAGGCGGTCAGTCTCTTCTAGCGGCTCCAAACAACGGCCCGCTCAGTCAGACAGACTGGACGGAGGATCAGATCTGGCAGCGTCTCTTAACACTGACGTGTGCTGGCTGGTCCGTGCATCTGCAGTTTGTTACGGACATTGTGGAATACATGCTAATGAGCTTGCAGATCAGTATGCGACACAGACTATGGAAACTGGACAATACACGGAGCATGGAATCGCACATATATGGC